GGAGTATTAGTTTCTACAACCTTTTTTTTTCCGAGTTTCGGCATTATCACATTTTAGTTTAGGCAAACTTCTATAACTCAACCAAATCAGTGCAACATAACAATAACTTTGGGAAATTTACATCATGGTGCATATGAAGCACAGAAAACTTTAAAAATTGTTGTAAAGCTGAAGGAACTTTCTATAACACAAGTCCATGGTCAATTTCCATGTGAAAACTTGGTGGACAAAAATCGTAAATGCATTGATTGGATGAAAGGAGATCATTTAATTATAATTCATTTGTTGTTAGAGACATCTATGGCTGCAACAAATGCCACTTTGTAACAATTTAGAAAAGATTGGCAATATTTTGGTATTTAGAAAGAATCATTGATCATTCCCAAATTTTTTTTAAAGCGTAAAAAAAAAATGAAAAAGAAATCACTTGATTAAAATTGAGCCTTCTCCAGAAATATTTTTCCTGCCACTAAAAAAATTGGGAATTAATAATCCATTATTGTTAAAGAAAATTAATTAAGCTTTTTTTGAAAAAGATCCTTTCTTGCCACTAAAATACCGACCGATATTGCTTAGATTATTATTATGTCATAACCGTGAAAAATATTGGGTCAGGTTACATGATCAAAATCATTAGCGGGCTGCATGATAAATTCACAATAATTGTTACCCTCCCAAAATTAATCGATGACATTACTTTTTTAGTAAAACTGTAATAAGTATTTGAGATCCAAAAATCTACAAATAAGGGACCTATCATCATGATGATATAACTATCTAAAACACTACAGTAATTGGGTGATTGTTTTATGAGAGTTTGAGAACCTATAATACTGATCTATCTCTTTGTGCTTGTCCATGTGAAATTACATTCATGTATTTTTCACATTATTGAATCATGCATGTAATTGGTGGTTGTAATCCGGTTTGATTCGATTTGATTCGTTCGGAGCCTTACCGCTGAATATCTTCATCTAATTCTGAAGTCTGTGGAGATAAAATAGTATGTTATCTATTTACATGTATTGTATTAAAATTATTCCATACCATCGATTATTCATTAATTAATTCCAACGCACGACTAACTGGATAATTGGAGCATAGTAATAATAATAATAATAATAATAATAATAATAATAATAATAATAATAATAATAATAATAATAATAATAATAA